ATGTGAATTACGAAATGTGGAAGAAAAGAAGTTAATAAGTTTTTTAGCTCCTAGAGGGTTGGAGAAGAGGGTCACAACCTCACTTTGAAATGATCTCACTCCATTCCAAGTCCTAGAACTGAATTGCAGTGCCTTCAATGGCATAGCTGAATGTAAGACACTTTCGTAGACTTTATTTAATTCTCTCCTTCTGTGAATGTTGTCCCTTATTCAACCTCTGAACTCTCCAACCACAGAGTAGCGTATTGGAACAGTGCTTACTTAGGTACCTGCATACTGCTGGCATCAAATAAAAGCTCTCTGCGGTTTTACTAGTCGAGTTCTAGCGATTTCTGAAGGCTTCGCCAAGCGTAATTGCCCAAAAATGACTTTTTTAAGGCTTAAGATAGCTGACGGACTGGCCCGATGGTGACTAAGGTGCAAAGGGTGGGAAAAAAGGACTTAAACACGCTGAGACTCTTAAAAAGGTGTTTTTCTGCTAACTTATTGTGCTGATCTGGTTCCTTATCCAAAAAAACTGTCTTTTACCTTAAAGTGCTGCAAAAATTATGATCGACAAAGCTAAACAACCTAAAATACGCCTTATGCTGCCCAGATGGGCCACAAGATGTAGGTGTGGTTCATGGCTAGGGTCCAATTTTGGCCTTTATCCAACTGAAGGGGCTTTCCTTTCCTGTTGGGCAGAAGACAACCGAGATGGAGAGCGTAGACAAGCAGAGACACAGCAAGCAAATGGACTACATGGAGAAGGCCCTCTGCGAGGCGACTACTGAGCGTGACGAGGTGGTCGGTCGAATTAGCCAGCTTAAACGGCGGTTAGAGGAGCTACAGTGCAGTCAAGTTCAAATCGAGCAGCGTCTTTCCGAGCGAAACGAAAAACTTAAAGTAGGGAAGCCATTTGTATCCCTTTCATTGTTCTTTAGAGATTAGCTGCTGCAGTGGCGCAATAGGCTTAAGCCTTAGGTGGTAGAATACAATTAAAACAATAGCTCTTTGCTCTCTGAGGTGATAGATACGCCCTATATTCAATTAAAAAATCCTTTTCATTTCCAAAAGACGCCTTCAGTGTTGGCTGCGTCGACTACTCTAATTTTGGGTAGCCAATGTGTCATTATGAATAATAAACTTGTCACGTACAACTTAACAACTACCCCTCCTGCGTTTCACCTAATCAGAAGTCCACCGAGGAAACAAACGGTCTTCGAAATCAACTTGAGGCTCGACAGAGGATGTTGGAGGAGACAGAGTCGAAGCTGGTCGCTGCACGCCAACGAAACAGTGAACTAGAGGCTGTTTATCAGCGTGCCGAGGTGTCAATCGAGGAGACCTCTCGACGCCTGCAGCAGGAGCAGGAGGGATGTGGACGCCTGCAAAACGAGCTGCAGGAGGCCACCTGTGAACGCACAAAGATGCAGGTGGGTGGAATCTGGCAATGTCCTTTTGATCTCAGTGGTCAGAATAGTACGTAAAATTTGCTTCCTTCATTCACTGATTTCTGACTTTGTTGAAAAAATGTCGAAAGTGCTCTTAAGAAATTCGGTACATTTTCCCAGCAAGAAATAGAGGAACTGAGGAAGGCCAAATCTCAACTTCAGAAGAGCAATAAGTACCTTGAAAAGAAGTATATGATGACAGTCACAGAACGGGACGAGGTTAACAGTAATTGCAACAGACTTGCTAATGACATCAAGAGTCTGGAACAGAAATTAAAGAACGCCGAAGGTGAAATTGCCTCATTGAACTCAAAATTCCAGGTTAGTCTGTAATTTAGTGTTTGTTTGT